AGTCGTTAGACCATTGACCTCGCATCCCTACAAAGCCGGGACGGAGCACGCCGGGTTCTCACCGGACCAGGCTAACACATCGCCAAGCGCGAAGCGCTGTGAGGTAAGCTTGCCCTTTATCAAGATTCACTTGCCCATTATACAAAAGGTATGCCGTTCCTAAAAAAAGCTTCGACTCAAAATATGAAATTTCAGGATCTTTGCACTGTCGCAATTTCTTTTTCACCTTTCCCTCACGGTACTTGTTCACTATCGGAAAGAAAAAACATTTAGGCTTTGAGGGTGGTTAATCCTTTTCTGGAAACTTTAAGGGAACTATTCGGCGAGTCGCATGAAGGCTGCGCTGGATCCTGCTAAGGGTGTTCGGCATCTTGTGCTTACTTCCTTGCGTACGGATGACAGCTTCGTATGACTTGACTTATTTTCCGGTGCTTTCACTTCCAGAGACAGTTGGAGGCACTGTGTAACTGCCTCGAGGGTGCTTGACCACTTTATTAACATAACGTGGTGCGATCATGCTCCTTGCGCGGAGTGAGTGTTCTCGACCCCGCACAACATATTTACTCGATCACCATTATGGTTACCGCCAAAAAAAAGAAAACAGAGGTAAAGAAAAAGCGGTAACCTGGTTGCCAAGTTCACGAAGTGAACTTGCTTGGTTTACAACGTCGATGCCAAGCGACGAAAACCCAGTCCCGATGGCAGACACCGGGGGGGGCTTGTTTTACAACGTCGTTGCCAAGCGACGAAAACCCAATCCCGATGGCAAACACGAGGGGGGCGGGGGGGGGTACGTAGCACATTCCGTCATCAGCTAGATGGAGGAGCGTTTCGAGAGTCACCCTAGTGTATCACATTCCGTGAGCGTTGTCATGAACGAACGAGTGCGGGTTGCCACCTCACGGTCGCCTCGTCTCGCCTCGATGAAACGTATAAATGAATGAAACGCACGATACGCATGAAACACATGATGAAGCGTACGACGATGAAAAAATTCCATGTTTTAACTCTTTTTCATCTATGAAACGAACGCACCCTTTTCGAGGTCGCTGGGCATGCGAGACCCGTCGCCCCCGGCGACGGTGCCCGCGCCGTACGGGCTTCCGCCGTGAACCTCGTCGTTGTTGAACAGGAGGGGGCTCGAGTATCCGATGGGCACGAACATCATGCCGTGGTGCGCCAGCTGAGTCAGGAAGGTGAGCGCCGAGGTTTCCTGCCCGCCTCCCTGAGTCGCCGTCGAGATGAACACGCCGGCCGGCTTGCCGACGAGCCCTCCGCTCTGCCACAGGCCCCCTGTGGCGTCCAGAACGGACTTCATCTGGGTGGGGAGGGTGCCGAACCGCGTCGGAAAGCCTTCGATGGCGGAGGCGGGGGAGGGCGGGGGGAGGGCGCAATCGCTTTGTTTGTCATCCATCGATACATTTTACTCCTTCTAGCCACTCGAAGTAATGGCGGGGGGCAGAGGGCTGGGGAGGCTTCGAAACCACCCCTCTATCGAATACCGTCGCCGCGGTGTTCCATATGTTGTAGCACCAAACCATTCGCTCGCGTGTTATGGCACACACACACATACATGTAGGTTCAACGCAAAAATTGTTAATTAGGAAAGTGCAAGACCTACGAGCGACTACATTTCACTGGCGGGCGCATCCATCCTTTGGAATAACCAAACTGTAGACTACACTATGCTACGGCACTGCAGCTGTGAGAATTGTGATTGATTACAAGCTTGCGGCTGGTTGCTGTTCTTCTTGTCTCTCACCGAACAGAATGCCATCGGCGTTGACGAGGTCCTTCACGTCCACTTCAGGGATGGACTCGTCTTTAGGAGGTGCGTGCCTGGTCAGGAAGAAGTAAGCAACGCACATCCCAACATCGTTAGAGTTTCGGGTCAAACGCCGCCCGTTCTGGCACCCAAACCGCCACGCATGGGGGTCCCGCCCGTGGAGAGGGCACACAACGAAATGGTTGGAAGGATAGGGGCGGGGGCGTAGACTAGTCTAGGCATTTTAGTCTGTGCGGGAATAAGAAAAGAAAGGCTGACGTATACCACAACGTACAAACTACATGCAATAGGAAAAGACTACACACACAGGTACTGTAGGTCTGTTTGTTGCCACCGCGCCTGAAATCGGGGCGCTGCAAATCCAAGTAGAAAAAAATGCCATTGAACCTGCAACCGTGGGACGAAGAGAAAGCACTAGACTACACTAACATACATGAAGAGACAACACTCGTAGCACTAACCGTGAATTTCGAGATGACGAACAACCAGCCAACCAAAAACGGTAGATAGAAACGATTATGGTTACCACCAACTTACATTTTCTCGAGGATGTCCGCGGTCAGAGTCTCAGGGCAGCGGACCATGACAGCCTCGCACCCAGCCTCCTCGATGCCGGTCTTGATCTCGGCAGCCAAGGTGTTGACATGTCCGTACAGGCTACAGCAGCAGCAGTAATATGCACGCAGTATTTTGGTTCCCGTGCAACATTATTTTTGTTCGTTGTTCGATGTTGGGATCGAAACGTGTACGGCGGAGAGGAGAGAGAGAGAGAGAGAGAGAGAGAGAGAGAGAGAGAGGTGGAGAGAGAAAGAGAGATACATAAGAGAGACACACAAAGGACCGACGGACCGACAACCAGCAAGACAAGTAAGGAGGGATAAGAAAAGATACATCGTACTCTCGAAGTTGCTCTCCGCTAAAAAATGTGAACAGTCTAAACAAAACTCCATTTCTTCACCGCAAAGGAGCTGCTGCTTAACACTGCTGTACTACAGTACTGTACTCTGCTGGTATTCACCGCTGCTGAAGAATAGCTGTCCTCACATACATACCGCATGCACCGCACATCGAGTTGAAGCCAACAAAGTGCTGCTAACTGTTATGGTCGAAAAGGTACGTACCGTGTTGCAGCACTAATAAGAGAGTGCACGTGACACGGAGAGATCCCCGGACCGCTGGATCGAAACACGCCCACGTAGAAAACATAGATGTAGCGATTCTACGCGAGCGAGTGGAGGACAGCGGCACAAGAGGACCCTGACCGTGTCCAAAGTCCGAGGATTTTGCAAGACGGATCTACAGGGCAGCCTACAAGTACATGCTTTGGGTGTCCATACACCAAACGGGGGGCAACAACACCACCACAGCGAAACCACAAACGAACACTCTCTCTCTCTCAGCAGTCCACGGCCTCGCTGAGACGCTATTATTCACCTACCTGTAGGTTAGGACGTAAATCTTGCACTTCTCGTCGGCGCTCATCGTTGCTGGTATCTGATCAGCAGAGTAAAAGTACGCGGTGCACGGAAAATAACAACGTCATGTCCCTCGTAACAGTCTATCTGTAGGCTATAGACAGCAGTTGGTTCGTGCCCGCGGGGATTTGGTTCAAGACCGATCCCGCACGGAAGGAGTGCAACGCACACGAACAATAACGTCCTTCATGACCCAATCGCAGAGGAACAGAACACGGCTTAGATAGAGAACAAGATACACCTGCTCCCGACAGCACAAGCGGTGACATCTCAAATGAATCAATGAAAAATGTCCGCCTTGAACACCGGATAGTCTATAACCCCTGTGAACAGCGGAGATAGCCGACATTAGCCCTACGATGATAAAGCTATGCAAGGTCTCGTCCACAAAAACATTGTGTCATACTCACAAGTAGAAGGAACAGTTGTGAATGGAGTGCGAGAGGGGCGTGTGTGAGGCGTGTGGCGCTGGCTGCTGTTTGGAGAGCGAGTCGGAAGATTTGCCGGAGAGCGGGACATAAATATTCTTCTAGAAGATTCTGTTGCTTCCATCTAAATTCGATCCATGCGGGAAGAGACCGATAAACATATCTCAGGCAGGAACCACAGGAGGGGGTCCAACCTCGTCCTCCTGTGTGACCCCGGTTGGGTCGTCTAGCTAGTAGAAGGGGAGGATAGGGGCCAGAGGGGCAGACGACAGAGTCCAATGATAGGGAAGAAAAAAAAAAACGGCCCCTATATGGTTACTAACGTTTTGTACGAAGGCGTGCCACGCCAGTTAGTCTTCTTGTCCTCGTGGGTACTCCGGAAGGGCAACGGGGAGATACTACCAACTGAGAGCGGGGGATTCGGGTTTTTTCAACACCGGTATGTAGCGAGTGTGCATGGTCAACAAAGTAGGTGCAGAGCTGGTGTTCTCCTGACATCCAGGAGCTTCGGAATTGCAATCGACACCCAAACAGTTCCCGCACACGTACTTCAACATTTCCCTTCTTTCTCTCGGCAGTGGCTCCGGAAAAGGGTTTGATATGAGCCTGGCAACCACGCTGCTTGGCAGGCAGCAGAGGCAGTTTTAACACTGCTCCCCAGCTTGTCACGAACGATTGGCCATCGGTGATCGATCCTTCCTGTGGGAACAATGCTCCGTCCTCTCGAGGATGCGTGGTCAATGGTCTAACCGTTAAGGCATGCAAAACATAAGAGTACGTCCCCCTCCCCAGCTTGTCGTGCATCATGTACGTACGGTGTTTTTATCGAAGCGTGCTGTAGTACAACATGCGAACCAGATACTCGACAGGAAAGCATGACTAGACTAGTGTAGGTTGTATGCTTGTCGGCGTTACGTCCCTGGTTGATTCTCTCGATTCTCTCCGTGTTTGCAAAAAATTAAACGGAGAAGAAGGGTATTGTACAAGTACCAACCGTAAAGGGACAAGCTTCACCGGGGAGGCCAAAAGGAGGTGCCACTGCTTTCGCAAACGAGAAGAAACCTCGGGGAAAACTATCACGCCGTCACGTGTCCATATCCGTGGGAAGCCATCACTCCGCGGGAGCCACCCACAAGAACCCAAAAATCAGACGTAGATGGAGCAGACGCAGCGCCACAAGAACTAAAAAAATGGATTGTTACTTGTACGGAGTGCGCACTCTTTCTCGTTCCCATGTACGCGGAGTACAGTACAGCAGTCGATACATGCGGAAATCACAGCGACCGACTGAAATAAACTACAATCGCCTACTACAGACACGTCTAGAGCTGCTACATGCTTCCCACCCCCTGAGATGATAACGCCAATAACAATAATGTGGTACTGAAGAGAGCAACCACCCGTTGAGCTACTGTTGCGCCGGTTGGGCCCTCGAACGGTCCGTGCATACACATCACAAACGAACTTCATAACGCCAGTCCAAACAAACCCCGGTCCTTCCCTACACATCCACCCGTCATGTTCGCGACAGCTAATATGGTGTTTGTTTAAAAAGGAGCCCAACGCAAAGAAAGCTAAAGCGAAGAAACGCAGGAGGGAACAAGTACGAGAGTACCAGTCAGCCCTTCCATGGGCTCGGTGCGCTCCAAATTGGTTCTGGGTCCTGCGTTGGCACAACGTAGAAACAGAAACAAAACACAAGAAACGAAGAGAAAAGTGCCAAAAACGACCGACTCCATCTCCATCCTAGTGCACTCCCAATCAGATTGTTGCCATGAATGACAACAACGTCGCCTATGACGTGGTGCGTGTCCTCTAGGAACCCTGCTCTTTCTCTTGATTATTGCGGTACCACCATCATCCCAGCAAGAAGTGACAGTCACGGCCCTTTGCACTCTTCTCGCTCTCAACATCAACCCAAAACCGCGACAGACACCGAAATTTCTAACACCGAGAGTGGTAACCGAGATTGTATGACATGTGACTTGATAGCAATCGACAACAAACACAAGACCGACCAAACCACCCTGTCGTACAAGCCACCACACCAGAGATGATGATACAGCATGACACGTGCACGGACTCTATACACAACCACACGGGTGGGGTCGAGTCTACGCAATCACGAGGCGAAAGACTTGGCGGCGAATTGCTCCTCAGGGAAGTAGGTGGCGTCGACAGACTTGCCGTCGAACGTGCGGGAGCCGAAACCCTTCTTCGCCTGGAAGGGGGGGGGAGGGGACGCACATCAGGGACGGGATTCTTGCGCATGGCAGAATATATATACCTCATAGCTTGCTGAAACCTTAGGGGCGCAAATTGAGGTTTGTGTCCCTTCAGTCCGCCGTTGAGAAAAAACACAGCAGCGCTGCTATGGATATCATGCTGTGGGTATTGTATCACAGGATGACACACACCAACAACAACTGGCTGTGCCAGTGTTGTTATGCCGGATTTTTTTTTTGATTGCTGTCCGAGATCGGTTTCCCCGAAAATCAGAACGCCTTGCGAACCATCACCAAACAATAGGGCCACACACGCCTCGATTGGCACGCCGTTGTTGTTAGATATTCCCAACCACAGAGCTTGAACAGCAGGTAACACCTACAGAGTGTTTGCACCAGGTGGGAGAAACAAGCATTCTTCGTTGTTACGATAGCGAAACCTGCCACGTCAATTGATTTCAGGCCCCAAACCTCTCTCCTCTCTGACTCGCATCCTTTCAAAAAAAAAAAACTCCCTTCAGCCGCCCTTCGATGTGTTCGGATTGCGGAGCAACTGGAGAAGACTCTCTTGGTAATAGAGTGGGAAGAAGGCCCAGATCCACCTTTCGTTTTGGCCGATATCTCCATCCACGAGGAACGAACACCTAATGCCGTGGATGCTACAGAAAGCCAGCGACATTAGCCCAGCGTTTGGTTCAAGTTGCACGGGGCAGCGTCATTTACCCACGCGTCTCCAAATCTGTCTGTTCAACCAGATCCAGCCTGTCGGATGACCCTCGTAACAAGCACAGACTGCAGACTGCGCAACAATCGCGGAAAATTGGTACACAGCGTGTAGTAGGATGTGTTGGTACTATGTGGTCTTGTTTCAGCAGCCCACGTAGGCCCAGGGTGGCGCCAGGTGGGTGTAAGTGTGCCAAACCGCTTGGCCGGGACGATATGGGAAAAAGTCCCACATCGGAAAAAAGCCTGATTACTGGGTCAGTACTTTTCCACCGCTGTTTTTGCTACCCACAACTCCACACGCCCTCATTTCCCTTCGCCTCTTCAGCGTGAAGGACTTGCCAGGACTGTAGCTACTCGGAGGTTCCTTCATGCGTGACGGTGGTGGGTTGTAGTGGCGGCGGTGCCGGAAAAAGTCGACAAATATACAAAAAAAAAAATCACGGCATAACACTGGTGCAGGATAAATACACCAAGCAGGCCTACATTTTGGTGTGGCTGTTCCAACGCCAACCGACACAACTGTGCCCCCCCTTTTTCCACACCTTCTGCGCGTCCTCGAGAGTGTGGAACTTGACGAACACGAAGCCTACTCCGGCGCCGGCCCCACCGACATGGGGGATCTCGATACCCGCCACGGCGCCATACTTGGAGCACTCCTCCGTCATGTCCTCCACTACCTACAAACAGGAGCGGGGGCGTGGGTGGGGGGGGAGTCATGGTTAGCATTAGCATGCCTTAGCGGATACACCATTGACATGGGGTGGAGGCGCAAACACGATTCCGCTCGAACCGTGGGGAAACCTAACCCCCCCCCCGTAATATCACGGTACGATGCATGTACACTTGTTTGCGGGGTGACGCCGCTTGCTCTGTTCCACACCTTCCAATTCAAAACCAGCAACCGCACGGGAACCTGGCGGGAAGCGTACTCTTAACGAGCAAGCCCGCAGGACCCCATCCATCCCGTTCACCCCTCGGCCAACTCCATCCCCCCGCAAACCGCTTGGCCACAATGACCCCCCCGTCCCCAAGCGCAAGGATCATGACGTTCATCCAAGTGAACGTAGACTCGGCCGGCGAAAACGCTCCGTCCCGTCATAATACTGGAGAGATGTCGGTCGTTGCACTGAAGAGATGCGACGTCAATGGTCCGAACGACTACGACATCATGAGCGTGTGCATACCCCCCCCTCTCCTGTGTAGGGATTGCGACGTCAACGGCCTAACAACTATGGTATGCACGGCCATCAGTACACACACACCGTTTGCAATAGAGCCTCATCGTCATCGTCGTTGCCGTGCTCACCTCTTTTTGTGCCTCATCGTCCGTGAGCTCTTCCGGAGTCACGACATTGCCTATCCGGACCACGGTAGAGGTGGGGGCCGGTTCCGCTTCTGTGGCGCCGCCCTGGCCGGCTCCTCCCACGAGGCCGAAGCTGCACTCCGCGAGCACGTCGAACCAAGTCTTGTGAGGCGTGACCGGCCCCTCGTACTGCGGGGCGAGGGTTTCGATGGAACAAGGCGTTGTGCTGCTGGTGTTGTTTTTGTCTACGGGGACAGCTAGTGACGCAAGGAACACACAAAAAGATAACTCCCGTACAATTATTTTACACCGCCCATGAACACACCTCACATGTCGGTTCACGTTCATCATACATGTGCATACCTCACGCCAGTACCCGCAAACCTCCGAGCTCCAATTCTATCCGCATGTGCCGCAATTGCACGCCTTTGTTTACCGGGTTCTCAATTGACCTTGGTTATTGGTTAACGGGTTCTAAATCGGTACGGGTTAGGGTAAGGGTTACCCATTCAACAACTCACTTTCTTAGGACGGCCGACGCTGAGAGCCGCTCCTCCGAAGGGGATGCCGTCTAGGTTAAGAGCCGCCGTTGCATCCTCCGCTGTCCTCATCTCCAAGAACGCGAAGCGAGCATTCATCCGGATGGACAGGATGGGGTTCGGCGGCTTGCAGAGACCCACCTGGACCAGCGCACCGCCCAGGTACTCCTGTTGCCATTGGTGATGGTGATGGTGAAAGGTGAGAAAAAAATAGAGGCCATGAGTGAGTTAAGCGCTCTTGTAGAAGCAAGCGTCAAGCGCACTACAGTCGTGGTCCCGGTTGAGCGGTTCCTCTAGTTCCTTCCTTCCCTCCTTCCTTCCCTCCCTGTTGAGCGGGATGCCCTGAATGGCGGCCCCAAACCATTGTGGCCCCGGTGGACCTCGGTAGTCAAACTACTGTACCATGAAACTGCCAATCCGGTTTAGTTTAACCGCGATGCTCTCACTAGCGGTTCTAACATTTGTTGACACTCTGGACCGCTTAACCGGGACCACGGTGGTACAGTAATCGGAGGGAAGGTGGTGCCTGTCAAACAGACCAAAAAAACTCTGGGGAATTGACATGGACACAAGTCGAAAGTCGGTCGGCATACATCTTGCCCAAACACCCCGCGTGGATAACCTCACTCATCTACACGTTGGGCCTTGTGTTCACAGCTCGTGTCATTACAAGTCGACATCACGATCGGTTGATACTGCATACCTCCTCAATCCGCTAAAAAGACACATCTGTGTCCATATCCTTGACTCTCTTGGCTTCTGTGGCCTGTCACCGCATTGTCTTATTCTGTCTGCCGCTTCGAACAAGGCATTGTACTGGTGGCTGTGTCTCTCGGAAAATCTACAATACATGTACAATGTACTGTGGTCCCTCGATTAAGGACACCATTTTTTTCACAGGCATGATGGTGCCCCGCAGAATGTACGACACAGGGGGTGTATAAACCTTAACGACACTTCCCCGGCTTGAGGAACACACCTGTTTCGTCCAGAAACCGTGTTTGTCCTCAACCAAAGGGCGAATGTACCTCCAAAAGGGGGTACAATACCTCCAAAATGGGGGTACAAACGCCTCCAAAGGGGGTGCACTACCTCCAAAGGAAGTATCGCCGTATATACATACACCGCCGCCCGTCGAACACAGGAATCGCCAATGGTATGCATAGGACATACCTGAAGGGTAGGAGCTTGGGTCTCCGGAGGGATGTTTCCGACGAACACCTCGCAACTCAGCTTGGTCGCAGAGTTCTGCATCAACATCATGCCTTCTGCGGGCATTTCAGCCTGCCCTGTCAGTACCTGGGTCAGGGTTAGGGAAATACCATATATCAGTTGACAGCTGAGCATGGGGAGAGAAGGGAGGGAGAGTGAAAGGCGAAGAGGCGGGGAAGAGGGGCAAATCGTCACGCGTACAGTGCACACAGGGGAGGGAGGGAGGTGTTGTTCCACCTATATAGTCTACTGTCTATCAAAGTGTGCCAAACGCTGTTTGACACGACCAAAACACCGATCCCATTCCGTTTGTATCTCATCTTCACAGACAGCCCGAATGTCTCAACTTAACACACGAACTGTGGACATCCAGCACAAATCACATTGGCCGTGTTCCTCGACTTGAAAGCCAGCTACTGCATCATATCTATCACTCGATTGCTTCGTACTTCCCTCGTACGATAGATACCTTGTAGCGTGTAGGTCAAGTCTCTACTCCGCGCGTCAAAGGGCCGACACAAAGACACGCGAAGAGAGAAAGGAGAGCACGGCGGCAGGGAGGGGAGACAAGCAGAGAAGAAGAGCTAGGGAGGGAAAAAAATGGTGCCGTGGACATGTACTCTCACTCAATCTCATCTCCTGTCCCCTGTCTCGCGTTTCTTCGCTGACTCACATCTGCCACCACCCCACCCCCCGATCGACTGATTCACGGTACCCCTCGACTACGGAGGGGTTCCAGGTTCGGGTAGTTTCATTCACCCGCATATCAACGAAAAAGAGAGCAAGAAAGAGAGGTTCGAGTTCCTCCTTTGTTTCCACAGAAAAGAGGAAGACAGCAACCGGAGGGGAGCAGCGGCGGAAGCAAGGAAGAGGAAGGGAAAACGGGAGAGGGGGGGGGGG